TGATCCTAGCTGGACGTCTTCAAGCCTTAGCAAGCTGTTACCATCAAATTCCTTAGAGATTCTATTCCTAATTACCTCTGCAACTGTTGTTTTCCCTATTCCAGGCATTCCATAGATTCCTATGAACTGAACATCTGTGGAGTCAAGTCTCAAGAGTGATATTATTTTCTCTACTGGAGAGTCAATTCCAAAAAGGCCGTCCACATCACTAAGGTATGTGTGATCCACTTTTTCCCAAACATCTTCAATAATTTTCTTGATCAACTCGGATTCATCCCTGCTTGTTGTGAAAAGGATTAAAATTTGATGTTGGAAAACACAACAGAGATATCCAATTAAGTGCACTTTAGGAAAAATTTCAGCATACATTTTACATGTCTGAGTGCTATATGCTACACTACATCTACTAAAGTAATTGTAGGCATGAGGAAAGGCATTTTCAGTGCAGACGGTCTCAAAAGAAAAAAAAAAAAAGATTGGTACCAAGAGAAGAAATTTATCCTAATAATTATTCAAGCAAGAAAGAGATGAATGAAGTACCCATTGACACTTTGAATATCAAAGCCGGCAAGGTTCGCAGCATTGGTAAGGGCAGTCTTCCACCTCTCTACTTTGTCCGTGGTAACCTTCTGGTGACACGCAAAGGCTTTGCCAAAGATCCCCCTCTGGTTGCGGACGTCTGAGGGATCCACATGAAAGAAAACGGGTAGAACCATCTGCCCTAACTTGTCCCTGCAATCGAGGATTTTGACCAGCTCGTCCAGGCACCATCTAGAATCAGCATAGTTTTCGGAGAACACGACAATTGCAATTCTGGAATGCTCGATGGCTTCTAGCAGGCTGGGGGCTATGTCGCTTCCTCTTTCGAGCTCATTGTCGTCTTTATATGTCCTGAATCCCACCCGGTTTAAAGCAGAATAGAGATGTCCCAGAAATGTTTTGCGGACGTCTTCACCTCTGAAACTCAAGAATACATCATGATCCCAACTTGGCTTTGATGGAAACGAAGCAGCCATTAGAGTTCGAAAGAAAATGGATTTTTTAGGGTTGTTTGTGGTGCTACGTGGGGATTTTGTTCTAAATTTATATTAATTGATTTATTTATTCTATGAATGATTGAGAAACTTCCGAGAAATTCTTCTTCAATTCTGGAAGGAAAGAGGGATTACGCTTTGTTTCGTAAAAATAACAAGTTTTATTATTTGGTATAAGCTTTATTTCTTTTATTTTAAATATTTATTGTTTTTTATTTTAAATTTATCTTAAATTATTATTATTATTTTTTATTTTAAATTCATGTTTATCTATGTACTTTAATTAATCATTTAATCTTAAAAGATCTTTCTATCTTTTTTTATTAAATACAAATATTATCCTCAAATTCTTAATTAAAAAAAAGTTTTAAAAAATAGCAATTATGGGAGTATTGATATATTAATTAGAAATTTAAAAAGATATTATAATGAAATTAATTGTGAATTTGA